TCACTGTTTTCAAGATATAGCACGATCAGCTGTATTGAAGTAAACAGAAATCAGCAGTAAATTCCTTCTAATGCTATTCTTATGGAGAAAATTTTACGATATATCTCATTTTGTATCAAGATTTGGGGAATTTCTCTATTTTTCCCGCCGTCACGGGGTCGAGACCTTTAATTTGAGCCCTCTCCCGTCCTTCTACGACTTCCCAGTCGCCCACAATTTTGACGCAAAGAATCGGCTTACGTAATTAATATATACATAGACATAGATTCTTAAGTAATTAGTATATTATTTACAGGAAATCTATTATAGTTGCAGTACAGGAATAACATAATTACTATTCTCTATCACACTCTCAGCGGATAAAGGTCGAATTACCTTCACACAGAATCATCTTACTAATCTCAGGCAAACATGTTTGATGTATCTGCCTTACCAATACAATTCAATTTAATTTATTTAATTTGGTACTTGGTCAATACTGGTATATGATACACTAATGCTGAGCATACTGGTTAAACAAGATAAATCTTTCCTTGGAAAAAATCGTGTGTTAAAATACAAATAATACGTTTTATGATTTCATGTTTTAAAATATCGGAATTACTTTAGCATCTTCATGAAATTTGAATCATACCACTATAGTTCCTCGGAGAATATCACCATATAATTCATAGTGAAATTAAATTAAAACCACATGAAGTGGTTTTCCAAATGTAACCGCTTTGCTATAAATAAAATATAAATTTAGGAGAAGTTACCAACATCATATTTTAGTGAGCATTAATAAATCAATAGTAAAATTAACATTTCCGAAGCGACTACATTTTACTATCGATGATGTTTTCAAAATGGAAAATGTTAATGCAAAAGTACAAAATCTAATTAATCAACTTTACTAATTAGTGGATTGTATGAGTGGGTATGACGAACATTTTAATTGGTTGAAATACACTATCAATGGGACTGATCTCCTGTAAAGTATGTTAAATTTAATTATATTTAGATTTATTTTGCAAACATAATCTATTACATGAACCTATAGCTGGAAAATGCGACTTTAAAAGTCAATAAATTATTATCTAGTACCAAAAGGTTCGTGAGATATGTTTTTATTTCGTGATATTTGCTTAGTTGCCCACTATTCTGTCAAAAGTGTGTTACTCCTTGAACATTTTTATTGCGTGAGGATATGTTAAAACATTTTTTATAAAGAAAACTACTTTAATCGTTTTTTTACAGCAATTGTGTCCTCATTTCATGGAAAGCTCCAAACAACATGTTGTAATGCCGTATTCAAATTTACATTATTTTGTTTTGCTCAGTGGATTTTGCTACGATGAATTCATCTCATATTTGAATAAGTAAAATCTAAAAATATTTCGGTAATTAAATTTGAGTCCTATTGTTGCTTTGGTGGAGTGATTAATGCATTTAACGTTATTAAAAATAATTCAAATAGTTAAATATAACGATATCAGCTGTTTCTTTTCATAGCATATGAAGGTAGAACAATTTTTTAAAGTGCTTAAAAAGATTTGCAAATTTTTGTAAATAATTCTTACGTTAAATTATGGTACGGTATGAAGATAAAAAGTTTATCAAAGTGACCTAAAGTGACTCTTAGTTCCCTCTCAATAAATACTTTTGTTAATTTCAACTTTTTACTATTTTAAAAATAAATTCGTTTTTAAATATTGTAAGCGAAACAATTATACCTTAACAATGAAGGTGTTGGACGTAATGAGATCCATCAATGTTTAATTAAACCTTCGCTCAGCTATAGAACAAGATTTAGTGACGATTGAAAAATGATATTTTAACTGACACTTCCTTACTGTTGTGAAATATTAGTTCAATTGTAATCTTTTACAATCTAACAGATTAAATAAATTGTAGGGGTATGATAAAAATATAAGTTGTTGATATTTAGAGACATTAGGTTGCTAATTAATTGAGCTTAATATCGTGGACATACATTTTTTTATTTGTTAGAATGAAATTCAAATTGTACGTGCTATGAATGAATACAAAGGTTAATTGATTCTATCTTTTCATCTCATCAAAATTTCTTTATTTATTTTTCTTCTATAGTTAAATTTTAGTTTACCAAGATTCCCCTGAGGTTGTTAAAAGCTATAAATTCCTCCTCCAGCGTCATAAATTACCAATAATTTACCTTTGTAGAAAAAAAAACGTCCAAACACAAATATTCCATAATGTAAACATTGTGATTTTGTTAAACAGGACACGCATTCAAGAACTCGTTGAAAGATTGTACATCAATAACAAAAGATGCCAACCAAAACATTATTAAACACAACTCTTCAGGATGTTTATAATCTATATGAACCACAGATTCTTGGTGTATAAAATTGTACTTGAGTTTTGATAACCAGAAAGAAGACCTTGAATCAGTGTTGTATATACGGCTGGGAAACTTAATTTAAAAATGATCGTCGCCAATAGCTTAGAAACAAGGTTCCACTCATTGACGGCGCTTCAATGGCGGTTGTGTAAAGTATAAAGTAAAAAATCTCAGCTGCAGTGGGTGATTGTGACACAGGTTTACGGATGATGCTAAACTTGCTTTTCCTTATATAATTCTGAGCAATGTGCAGACAGAACTCTAATTTTTTTATATAGATAGTGACAACCAAGAAGAGGTAGATATCATCAAAAACAAGTTTTAATGTTCATATTACTACACACAACTACGAAAGATTAGAATAACAAACTAAGCCATAAGTAAAAATTAAAAAGTATCATTTGTTACATTGTACCGATTTTGTTGTAAAAAGGCAACAAATCAATACAGGGTAACGCGAAGAACAGTCAGCTGGGTTAAACAATAGATCAGTATAGACCAGAATGCACCACGCACTAAAGCAGGAGAGGGGAGAAGTCTAGCCGGGTGGTCATTTGCTCCCACGAGTGGCCAGTTCCTATCCAAATCTCATCGTAACTAGTTCGGTAAAATTGTTTTTCGTTCGTGGAAATTAAATTCATCTCGCGGCGTTTGGTCGGGCAATCTTAAATTTCCTTAAAGTCGTACAGCCTATATCCCTAAGGGATATAATTGCCCCGCGATTGGAAATTAGAATCAGTGTCATTGTCAAAAAGTGAAAAAGTTCGTTACCGGCCAACGCAGTTCCGCCATTTGAAAATTACACGTTCGTTTCACGAGTTCAATTCATCGCGTCTTGTAGAATACCGGCTAGTTACATTTCCCAATCCCTTCCCCTTTATTTGTGTTATATTTGTGGACGTCCAAACTGTAAGTAATTTGTGTTATTTATTTTGTTAATTTAAGATTCAGTGAGTCGCACTTTTGTAAATTTTTCCTGTCTTGTTTTGTCATTTCATGTAGAATAAGCACATGTTCACAGGTTCGGATTCAAATCACTGATTTTCATATCCATTCATATTGTAGCAATCCGCTTTATTAATTAGACTGTAACAATCCTATAGTATTAAGAATAAATAGGTAAACATGTTTTTATAGGGCAATTCAGAGTTATTTAATAAGATTTTTATAGTGTTGGAATTTTTACACAGAGTCATTGTTAGTTTTCATTGTTGAGCAAATGGTACAATTCCTCTAAAGAGTGTCACAGTCAGTATCTTTTGGGGGAAATAAATTATTATCAGAGGAGGGAGCAGGTAGCTGGTTCGATTGATACGGAAGTGTTGTGGGAGGTTGTGCCAGTTTGAACATAGATGAACCACCAAAGTACCAAATTAGCTATAAAATAATAAAGCAACATTCTGATAGACATTACTACGATTGAATACAATATTGTTCAATCAGTTGGACTGCGAGACGACCTTCGTTTTTAATCGTTGGCCAACGAAAGGATTTGCTTGGTACAGGTCATCTCAACCGTTAGATTAAATACCACTCTTCCATTGATACTTTCGAGATCGGTGTGAAACCGCACCATACCTCCCCTTTGATAAATCCATTCAACAGTTTCAATAAATTTCCAACTGATTGTGTATCTCAAGGTCATTTTTATTTAAAAGAACACAACAACGACTGTAAACTGAAACAAGTGTATTTATTAAATTCTGTGCAATAAATTCAAATTGTTACTCACTTTTAGTTCTCAATAACCTTGGTATTTTAGTATATGCAATAGTATTTAATTGATAAACAAAAGGTAATTCAGTAAATCATAAGCCACTACAAAAGATTCACCTTTTAAGTGCAACACTAGTCACTAGTGTAGTAGTGAGCAAGTAAATTCAGTGTAGAATTAAGACTGGTAAATTGATCTCATTAAATGTATTACTTTATTGGAAGAACTACAAACAGTGCCAGGGACGTCCCCTAAGGACCTTTGGGGAATATTTATATTTTGCAGGGTCCACTCATATTTTTCAATAACATCAAGCTTCCACTGCCAAAAAGCTCTGTCTGATATTTTTATTTTCTAGAGTTCTTCCAACCTAGGGGCAACCAACATTTGTAAAGAATTCATTAAAGAGCATTGCAAGGAGTAAATATATTTAAATATAACATTTAAATATATGAGAGTCTAAGTCAGAGTTACTTTTCTCTTTTTTTTCTTTACAACATCAAAGATAATTAGAAGAATGAAGTATAAGTTTGAATTTACACAAATTACCATTCACTACATAGTTTGACCTAAATTAATCAGAATTCCATTTCATATATTCCTATTGGTTCTTCAATTAGACTACGGGTATCGTTTCAAGCTGTTAAAACAACAATACAATGTACTTTGGCTAATCACTCAACAAAGCTAAATCATTTGCCAAATCTATTGTTTCCAACATGATTTTCACTATGCAGTTGTGAAATCCGTTAGGAAGAGTTATCCAAGGACTATGTTATTGACTGTATGAAACTCCAAACCACCCCCACATGAAGAATATTGTTTATTTCCTCAAGCTTTCATAGTTAACAAAATACCATCTTACAATTGAAACATAACCCCACTTACAAACCAACACAATAATACGGGTCCAATGAAACATTTATATTTTAAAGCAATTTTAATTACAAAGTTTAAACAAAACAAAGTCTAATATAATGATACATAGTTCTGTCTACAAGATAAAGTGGCCCACGGTGCTATGACGTCATCGTGAGGAGACGTTGTCTTATCTGATTGGTTGCTGTACATCGAAGTGGAGGGAGGACTAGCGACGTCACCCCCACCTGAGGGGCGCATCAGGGCGGCGTGTAACTTTCTCATCCGCTGAGGAGTCTTTCTCATCCTGCAAGAAGAGTGGAAAATTGTCTAAGCGTAAAAATTGTGAAGTTTAAAATGTCTTTGAAAAGGGATTTTTATTAAGGTCCTGGATAGAACCAGCTGGTCATACTCAATAAAGCTAATATAAAATTTTATTCAACTAAAATCTCGAACTTAGTTTAATGACTCTTCCTTTTCCAACCTATCATTAATTTACAATCGTACTATTGCTTGGACTTAAAATTTCTTTTACTTTCGAATTTTAAGTTTTACTCCTTTGTATAGTGGCTAGCTTTACTGTTTAACCAATTTAATTTTCTCTTCATATTTACAACCCTGTTTAATCTTTTATCTACTAAAAGAGGCTTTCACGGGCAGTTTTTCCCAAATCCTATTTTTACGGGGCGTGACTTTACGAAACATGTCAACTATCTTCACTTCACATATTTATTGTTCTGCTAAAAAGACTAACGCTTCTACTAATGCATACTTTTCCCATCTCCTCATCTGCCCGAGCAAGTATAGACCTTTTAGTTCCCCACTTACCCAATCTCATCTCTCTGGGGAATGAGGCCACCCTTCAGAGAGATTCCACATTCCTATTTCTACAAAACGTATTTCTTACTCTTCTAAAAAGCCACTTCTACTACTGTCTAACTAGTTTTCTATCGGATCTCTACTCTTTTGGGAAGATACCACTACTAACATAACCTCAAATACGTACGGTACTTTTTATACCTCCTCATCTGTTCCAACTAGAAGGGACCTCGAATGTTAGTACCCCACTTACTCAACCTTACACCTCTGAGAAGTTAACTAATACTTTTCTACAACTTCTTCTACTACCTAACCTCTACTCCTCGTGAAAGAAGCCGCTACAACCACTTCCTACATTTTCAATCTCCTTATGTGTTCCAACTAGAATGAACTTACCCCACTTATTCAACATAATCCCTCTGGGAAGTGAAAGCTAATACTTTCCTACATCTACTTCTTTCTCCTAAAGACACTTCGTCTACTATCTCACCTCAACTCCTTTGGGAAGAGTTCACTACCACCACTACCTACTTTTTCTATCTCATGTTCAACTGGGAGGGACCTCCACTTTTAGTACCCCACATACATATCCCTATAGGAAGTGAAATCTGCCACTTTTCTACCTCCACTTCTTCTACTTCCTCACCTGTAGTCCTCTAGGAAGTATCTCGTTGTCTTGTGCTCGGCTGGGTCTACCGCTATTCCTGAATGTGTCAGTGAAGGGTGCTCGCTTCTCTGCCATCAGCACTGCAACATAATGGAATGATGAGAATGAGCGTCGTTGTAAAGATATTACATATTCATGTCAACTACAGGTCACCTTGTGGTCGAAAACTCGACCAAAAATATGTACTGTGCAAATTTCTTTATTTTCATCCCACGCTGTTAATACACGTGATTGGAATGACTTCCATTTGTTTTTATTTTCTATTTATATTTCGCTGTTCATTCGTCACCGGCATGACAACCCATAAGGTTTGTGTTTTGTTTTTGTTTTAAATATTATACTTTTCTCAATTAAATTTTGATTCTCAAAGCATACATAACATTTTATTGCAAAATCTCAAGCCTATTTTGATATTTCTCATGTTGGCTAGGTTCTAATGGTTCATGGTTCTAGCACAGAAAACGTACTACTATAACCCAGAATGCCAACCGCATGGTAAAAAGCATTAAGCGTTTTGAGAGAGCTTTGCCTGTCAATCCGTAGGCAGCGCCACCAGCGTTGCTACACTATTGCATGGCAACTCTGGTGGCGCTGCCTACGGATTGACAGGCAAAGCTCTCTCAAAACGCTTAATGCTTTTTACCATGCGGTTAGCATTCTGGGTTATAGTAGTACGTTTTCTGTGGTTCTAGTTACGGATTATATTCACTGATGAAGATTTAACAGTAAATATTTTTCGTCATACTGCAGCAAAAACAGTAGTTTTTAATGCATGCGTTGCGGGTCTGTGGGGTGAAAATAGAAAAGTCTGTACATTACATATTTTGGTCGAGTTTTTCGACCACTGGACGGCCTCTAGTCTCTTTTAGTAGAAATAATAAACCCTTTGTCCTCACAACTCTTTGTAGAGAAGGGTGTTAACCCTTGAATGATTACAACTTTAAGAGTACGATTTAACCACCAACTCCAAAATCCAACCCGTGTAAAAATTCAGGAATCCAAGCCATAACTCTTAAGAAATTAGCTTTTTGACCAACATTGTTTGGTACTTACGTATTATACTGACCACACCAATAAATCGATAAAAAAATTGCATTAGTTTAAATAAAAATATTTATAACCTAACCTAACCACCCTAAGTTAGGTCAGGGTATAATTGTTAAGTGTGGTCGGTATAATACCTAAGTACCAATTTATTGTTTGTATGTTTATTGTCTCCCAAACAGTAAACCTATATTAACCTTCTTAAATTTTGAAATAAACATGGATACTCAAGTCATGCACTTAAAAAAGTAACAATTCCTGATATATATTTCACAATGAACGATGAAAGTGAGATATCTCCCTACCATCTCCAAGGTCTCTCCTCCTGATGGGTTCATCCTCTGCGTCGAACAATGGACGTCTAGGTGAGAGGGCGGAGACCGGGGCGAGCAGCGCGGCCATACACGCGGCTGCTACCGTCATCCACAGCATGGCTACCCTAGGGACAAGTGGAAGTGTCAAATGTGGTCGAGGGGAGAGTAGAATGTGGGGTGTCTTTATTTACTTTTGTTTTCGTGTATATGCTAGTAAGATGAGATTATTTCATGAAATAACCACAGTTTTACCCCACAAAACCGCGTTCCCTTAATGCTATTGCCATAGTCCTAAAAATCAACTTAGGTTTATACAGTAACAACTACTGTAAACATGTCTCTACTATTAATTGACTCAGAGTTACTTTGAACGATCCCTCTCAAACTGACAGCGCATCAGCTGTAATTTTAGAGGCTAGCTGCAGAAACCCCGTTTATTAGCGAATTTCCCTATAGGGAAGTAATTATTACGGTAGGTGGCACGGTATGACTTAGGCCCCGGACCGATTTACTTTTTCATTTTGATGTCCCCATAGGCCAAAAACACCATTCGTTCAAATGTTTATATATGTATAGATATACGTACGTGAACGCGATAACTTGAGTATTTTTTGACAGATTTTGATGAAATTTGGTTTAAAGGTGTAAGGCGGGATAAACCTGAATGAGTTCGCGAACCAGCATGATTGGACCATGGGAACGGGGTTTTAGGGAAGGTTTTATGGGGTAAAAAATGGCTTATCTCATTTTTGACCCTCACATCACAAAATTACCCAATTTCTCTCTAGACCCTTTTAAATAGCTTAAAAAAAATAATTTAGTATGTCAAAGTGTTTTTGTACGTTTGTTGGTAAGGGAGAAAATTCAAAAAAATTTAAATTTTAAATTTCCATGTTATTCTTATGGAGAATATTGTAAACCGTTGTATTTTGCTTGTTTATGGATATATTTTGATCAAACTTGGCAAATTTATTTATATTATACTAAGCTATTAATATTTTACAAAAAATACATTTTATTAGTTTCCTTGTAGCAGCAAACCTAGGTAGGCTACTCATTAAACCTAATGTTATTTAAATAAATTTAATTGAAAATCAATTCAGACAAATGGAAATTCGCTTAGTCGGCAGGTTTGCTGTGGCGGGTGTATATTGATTTCAAATTACTGTAATAGAGAAAAGAGTAAACCCTAGTCGATCAATACATTTCTAAATATCTGTAATATATATTTACTGGCTACTTACAGCTTAGTCATCATGTTGAGCTATGGTACCCACTTCAAAGGGAGTATGTTTTATATGCTTCAACCATCAAGGTCAAAGTGAAGAGACACAATAGGTAATTGTGGTGTTATTAATTAACCATATGTTTAATGTTTAAAATATCGGATGAACTGATTATTTATTGGGCTTGACAATAAAGTCATTGAATCGTTACCCAACAATGGCTTCATAACCGAACGGCTACCATTCATTACCAACTGAAATCGAAGATGAAAATGTTGTTGAAACGTCCAGGGTTCCCATTAATCAGCGAAGACATCAAGAACAAACTAAAGTGTTGCAATGGCCAGAACATAATGGAATGCCAATAAATGAGTTCAGCAGCTCAGACTATATAGCGCAAGCGTTTCCTCACCTCTTTCCTACAGCGCAACGATTGTGGATAGACGCCTATCAGCTATTGAGTTAAATGAAGAACAACAGAAAATCCTCGACCTCTATTGTTTTCAGCTTCATAATTTAGAAACTTGACAACAAAAGCGAACATTGATACTGGGTCCAGCAGGAGTGGGTAAATCAGCTGTTATAAAGAAGATGATCTCTATAACTAAAAACATGTTTGGTGATGGTTCAATAATGCTTATGGCACCTACTGGGGTTGGCGCAAACAATATTAATGGATGTACAATTCACAGTGCTCTAAAAATAAACAGCACTCGTGGAGTGAGAAAATGAGAAGCTGAGCGGATACTCCAGGAAATGTTTGCCAAAGTTGTTACGGTCATTGTTGACGAAGTATCAAGATTCAAGATTCAAGATTCAAGATTCAAGATTCATGATTTATTGAGCCGTTCAGTATTATTTACAATAGGCCAAGTCACTAATACTAACAAAAAAGAGTTGCCATTCCTCTTGACTCACAAGCTTAAGTCCATCATAAAGCACACCAGAAAGTCCAAAAGCACACCATGCAAAATAAATAGATGAATAAAAACTGTAAAACACGACGAGAAAAAATGTAAAAATTTACAAAAGAGTAAAAACACACAAAACTCAAATACCACACTCATACCTGCAGGCAGGGATAAATTTAATTAATCTCTTCTTAAAATTCTTTTTTTTTTTACTTCATTGAGTTATGATTTGTTATGAAAAACTCCTGCAAGGAATAAAATGGGTTTGCAACCAACCAATCCTTTACAATTTTTGCAAACGCCTTAGCAGGTTTTCTTCTGACTTGCAGAGGCAAAGTGTTAAAAAATGTTATACCTGCAACAGGAATAGAATTTAAAGTTTTGGTTAACCTAATCCTATGTCTATGTACATTAGAAGAGCTCCTGGCTGCATGGCTATGTACACTACTGTTCAAGGACATTGTGTTTTCCTGAACCTTAATTTCTAATAAACATTGATAAATATATACATTATGTACAGACATTATACAGTTTTCTGTTAACAAGGGTTTGCAATGCGCAAGCTGCTCGGCTCCACAGAGGACCCTGACAGTTTTTTTTTGCAAAATTAGAACTTTTTGGACAGCAGGCGCATGTCCCCAGAGTGTAGTGCCATACTGTAGGTGAGATTGGAAGAAGGCCATATAAGCAACGCGAACAAACTCCTAGGGCATATCAGCTTTTAAACGTCGGAGCAGGTATATTACTCTGCTCAATTTATTACAAACGAGCTCAATGTGATTAGTCCAACTCAGCTGCGGATCAAGTACAAAGCCCAGCAGCTTGGCAGGCTGATCTAAAGAATTATTCTTTGACAAACTAAATGTGATGGTTTATGTCTTTGCCTCATTTAGAGTCAACTTATTTTCTCTGATACAAACAGAAGCAGACTGCAGCCCTGGAAACACCAAAATCCCTGTCACCAGAGAAGAGAGTAGTATCGTCAACGTACATCAGTACATTGCCAGCAACTTTGAGATACAAATCGTTCATTGACACAAGGAAAAGAAAAGGACCGAGTATAGAGCCCTGCGGTACCCCATACTTAACATTCAGTTGATTTGAATTGCTTCCATTCCAAGATAAAGTTTGAGTTCTTACAGATAAGTATGGTCTGAGGATTGAGAGAGCATTACCCCTCACTCGATATTTTCAAGTTTGGACAGCAAGAGATTGTGGGACACACAATCGAACGCGCGAGACAAATCACACATAGTTACTGACAGAGAACTCTTGGCTTCAAATGAGTTTAGAATAGTTTGTACATGGAAATCCACTGCCTGGACAGTGGACTTTCCCCTTCTAAAGCCGAATTGAACAGGAGTGAGAAGATTATGCTCCTCAACGTAACTATAAAATAGCTCAAGCATAATGGCCTCAAATATTTGGGCAAAGATAGGTATTATGGATATTGGTCTGTGGCTTTTGAGATCATCCTTTGAGCCCTTTTTGTAGATGGGAACTGTTCGACTAATTTTGAGAGTTTCAGGAAAAATACCAATTGCAAAAGATGTATTAATAAAATGAGCTATGGTAGGAGCAATGACATACACAATTTTCTTTAAGAGCTCAACATTCATATCATAATACTGTAGTCTACCTTTTTAGATAAATGCATTTGACGTTATTAAAAAGAATTCAAATTGTTAAATATAACGATATCAGCTGTTTCTTTACATAGCATAAGAAGGTAGAACAAATTTTTGGAAGTACTTAAAAATATTTAAATTTTTTTTTAATAATTGTTATATTAAATTATGGTGCGGTATGACGAAGTCAAAGTGGCCTGAAGTGACTCTTAGTCCCCTCTCAATAAATATTTTTGTTAATTTAAAGTTTTTACTCTTTTAAAATTAATTAGTTTTTAAATATTGTAAGCGAAACAATTATACCTTAACAATGAAGGTGTCCTTGGACGTAATGAGGGCCATCAATGTTTAATTGGACCTTGACTCAGCTATAAAAAAAGATTTATTGACGATTGAAAAATTATATTTTAACTGTCACTTCCTTACTGTTGTAAAATATTAGTTCAATTGTAATCTTTTACAATCTAACAGATGAAATAAATTGAAGGTGTATGATAAAAATATAAGTCGTTAATATTTAGAAACATTAGGTTGCTAATTAATTGAGCTTAATATTGTGGGCATATATTTTTTTTATTTGTTAGAATGAAATTGAAATTGTACGTGCCATGAGTGAATACAAAAATACAACTGTATAGTGGTTATTTTTTCTTCTATAGTGAAATGTTAGTGAACCGAGATTCCGCTGAGGTTGTTAAAAGGTACGAGGTGTTAGCCCGTCCTACGTACGGGAATTCAGTAGTCAGTTAAAACCGTGTACGATTCAGATCAGCTAGTTTACACATATCTATATATCTAATTCCGTAAGCCCAAAATTTTACAATGAAATTGTGAGCGAACCAGAGGGCGTACAAAGCTGGGAGGGGTCTCATTTTAAAGATCTGGGCATGAATTTTTGGGGAAAATTATTCATTTTTCTTAATTATGCAACAAAAGGTTGTGACGGAATAAAATAATTCACATTTAAATAACATGGGAATCTAGGTCATGTATGCTTTGTTTACATTAAAACATGTGGTTTAACTTTATTTAAAGCACATGGTAATATGTAATATGCACTGTAATATGTATACTAACCCTTAAGAGAGGTTGAACATACCAATTTACTATATAAATTTAATTGGACGATCTGGAATGCCACAAATTAGTTTTAAAAGTTGGTTCAATAGTGATGCTCATTAGAAATATGAAGCTAGGGTCTGGATTAGTTAATGGAGTACGATTGGTTGTGTTAGGTATTACTGGAAAAAGGGTAAAGTTAGTATTAATTACTGGAGTAGGCAAAGGGAACATATTTGCCTACTAAGTTTGCATGCTAAAAATAAAACTAATATCCACAGATCCTAATATGCCGTTTAAGTTTACAAGGGAAATTTTCACAAAAATTGGCATTTATTTGAAAAATGTATCTCCATGTATTTTATCTAAGTGAATTTGTGAAGATTATCATTGAAAATTGTCCTTATTTGTATTATGATTAGAAATTTTATATTATAAACACACTGTATGAAAAATCCTTTGTAATTTTTATTTTTAACAGAGCACACCTCAAAATGCATTATGCAGGTATGTAATAACTATTATACATATTATAATATACAATAATGTTAAACGATAATCAAGGTAGGGTAACCCATGGGACTAATAATTTGTACAAAATAATTACTACAATACATACATAGGGGCTAATGCCCCTACAAGCCACTAGTAAAGACAAAGTTTCTTGCAGTTTTAATGTGAAAAATCATCTTGTAAACAAATGTTGTGTGTCCAAATATTTTTTTATTCCATCATAGGCCTATACGATATGCATTTTAAATCCGATAATTTTACAATAAAACAGCAATAAATTCTGCAATTTTTACGATGTGAAAAGCGTTGAAATGGTTGAAGTGAGATTTGCAGCCGATTCGCACAGACGCACTATAAGTAGCCTACAGTAGAGAGAGTAATAGTCAATTGAGAAGTGTATAGACCTAGTCAACGATACCGCCTTCCATAGCATACCTGCCTCTTCCATAATTATTATCACCACAATACAACTACTATACAAAATGTCCAGTAGGTCTGAATAGAAACGACCTAAAATAAAACGATAATATCCAATAAAATTCACAGTACACATAATATAATAAAGTTTTTGGTGTCATTGGAATAAGCGTAACGTGAAATTGTGCAGGAAACTTTCTTTTTAGGGAAATAATGAGAGAGTGAGGCCATGGAGCCGTTTAAAGTTTCGTATTTCTCCATAAGATTAACATTGGAAACAAAAATTGTTATGAAACTCCAGCTGCAAAAGTGAGAAGAAGAGCATATGTTAATTGTAAACAGTCAATAAGTTTGCTAATTTAACAGTTTGCTACAAACTTGCTGACTTGGTTGAAATTCGTTTTTAACGCCTGTAATACTTAGCAATTGCTCGAATTCGAGCAACAGGGACACTAGGCAAAATTAATCGTCACACCTATCCTTTATATCAATTTCACTGCATTAATTGCTAAATAAATAAGTGTAAACAA